GGCCAACAACACACTTTAAGAATCTGATGTTTCTTTAGATTATTTTGAGTCACTACCAAAGAGAGACTGAAAAAGTCGAAGAGTTTTTTTTCTTAAAGAGTTTCCCTTTGATGTCACTTCCTGTTTCACTCTGGCTGAGCCATGTTTAAAAGAAAATATGCCAGTTACATGACAAAATGAGTAAAATAGAACCAAGTTTCTTAAATTTAAAAATGTTTTCTTTCATTTTTTTCATTTGAATAATAAGCAAGTCACAGACACTTTTAAACTTTTGTTGTTGAAACTTTACATCTGTAGTTAACTAGAACACTGGTTTACATTTGCTCTTTTGCAGAAATTCTTATAACTCTTCTCTTTAAAAGGTTCTTTGTTTCTGTCAACTTAAAGTGGATYTATCATGCAAAATCCACTTTTTTACCTGTTAAACACATTTCGTTGCGTACTGGGGTCTCTAATGCAGAAAAGTTTGATTTAGTGTCTCTCGGTGCTGCAAAGATATATACTTTTTGGGTCATATATTTCAACTAGTTCAGCTTTCTTTATTTTCTATGACATTTTCTGAACTATCACATTAAAATATTTGTGACAGAACTGAAAAATAAGGTCTGGACTTACCAATTACAATTTGGTGGTCTTCAATCTCCTCTGGTTCTGCGTCAGACTCTGGCTCCAACATGTAAGGCTGGATGGACAAGTCTTCTGTTGTCTTCTTTTGATTCATTTGTAAATAAATTAAAACATGATATGTCTCCTTCAAATGGATATTCTTATTTTTAAAGCGATGTTCATAATTGTGTTTTTACACGCATGTATTCTTTGCCTAAAATATGCAGTATTTTCCATAATGTCTACTCTCAAATTTATAAGCCAACATGCACTACCTCTGCATACATTTGGTATTATAATATCCTTATGGGTGTTTAGGGTCGTACAAATTCTCACATGCTCAGCAGACCCCACTCCCACAGCTGTGCTAAACACACAAGGACGTCACAGTTGGCTGCTTTTATTGTGGTAAAAGGTAAAAATCCTGGAGAGTTCAGGTGTCATTGGAACAGAACAAACTGAGGCAGCGTGTGATTAAATATACTTCCTGTTTTTGAATGTCTCTTAATAATAAAATAAAATAAATCATAAGCTGCTGTCAGTCTTCTTCAGCTCCAACATGAATCAAACCCTTCAGCAGATTTATCGTGTCAGCAGCAGCAGCCATTATTGCTTCAGCTTCTCCTCTCATGTTCCTCTTTTTACCTCATCTTCAATCCATTTTCCATTAAAAAAAAAAAAAACCTCTCGGTTGCTGTTGCTCCAGAACACATTTTCACTCGGCAGTCAAAAAGATCCTAAACGTCTTTGGTGCTTGACATTTGTCATGGTCTGTGTTTATTTTCTTTAACTTTCTAGTGTTGTCAATGTTCCCCTGTGTTGCTCTGCCCTACAGCCCCGCCCACACACACCTGATCCCTCTTGTGTCTRCCCAGGTGTTTCRGATTGTCTCTTAATTTGTTTGCCTTTATATTTGGTGTCTTGTCCTCAGTCTGTATCCATTCATTGTACTGTATTGCACTCAGTGTGGTTGTTCTCCTTGTTCCTTGTGAAGAAAGAGTTTTTTTGTAGCTGCTTTGCCAGCCTTCTTTAGTTAAAATAAACCTTTTTTTTTTTGCATTTTGGATTTTGCCTGGGCCATTCTACTTACAACCTCACAACATTTACACTTCACAAAACACACATTCAGCCACACTGTGAAAAGTGTTTATTCTGTTTAACTTTACTTTTATATATGAGCTTTTGTATTCTAATGAGGYCACTTTTGTTTTGCTCTTAGCTTTACTTTTTTTGTTAAAGAAAAATAGAGGGACATAATTTTGTTAAGTAAACATAAAGATGATAACAGTACTTGGATCTTTATTTGACAATTTCKTTACCCACAGACAGCAAAGCTGGAAATTAGATGCCATTTAATTCAAGTCTGGTGCTTTTTTTACATTCCAGGCATAAATTGTGAACTTTGCAGAAACTCTTTGCTTCTAAATGAACTAGGTTWTTATTTTATTTGAGCACACACACGCTCACATAACACATAACACCCACACATTATGCCCACATTGTAACAGTGGGTGCTTTGTTATCAACATGAAGCTTGATCCAAGCAGGAAATCCAAGTAATTCAGTGGCAGCACAAGTGCAACACATTTGATTGCTGTATTTTACCGTGTCACRGTGAGACACCAGAACAAAGTGAGCTACTCAAATAAAGCCCCCTCAAAGARGAAAATATCACAGCGATCCAAAGAGTAAACTGTCGTTAAACTTTTGTCATTGGAGGTAAATACACGAGCTCTTTGCTTTGTGATARGAAAACTAATTGTTGGTCTTTTGTTTTTCTGTCTCACAAAGACAATGACAGCAATAAGAATAAAAGCAGTTTGTTCGGGAAAKGTTTTGGATCTTAGATCCTGCCAGACTTTTAGAATGAGACGTTTTAAGATTAAGAACAGAAACAATTGTTGAATTTTTAATCAAACKTTTATGTCCTGTGCAACTTCAAGCAAATGATCTTGAGAACTGACTCAGAGTAATTGATGTGGAGAACTCCTGGCTTCTACATGCAAATTTAGCTCGATGTCAAAAGTCACTGATTCAGAGGCATTTTTTTGTGTTCACTGATTAGATGGAATTGGGTTGACTCCCACTGTTTTTCAATTTAAATCCATCCAATGCTTCACGAAATGTTTGTTTACCACAAAAAATTATTAAGATAAGATCAAAAAAATCTTGTCTTATAAGTTAAAGGAGACATATCATGCTTTGAAATCATTTTTCACATTTAAATCCTTCAGTCGGGCTTTATGTAAAGAACTGCAATGCTTTGGTCTGAATTCCTCCTTATTGTAACTACACAAGCCCCTCTTTTCTGTGGTGTGTCTCAGATCAACTCGTTTTGTCCATTCTAGTTTGATAGAGGTGTTCATGACTTTATATGTTATGGTTTGTCTGGGTTCTTGTGTTATTTTGGTTCTAGRCTGGTTTTCTGTCTTGTCCTTCCCTGTTTACCTCCTCCTGCCTGTCTTTGCTCTAGCCCCGCCCACTCTCACCTGTTCCTCATGTTTCTCTCCCAGGTGTTTCTTGTTTCTGCTCATTAGTTCTCCTTTATATTCTGTTCTCTGTCTTCAGTTTGTGTCAGATCTTTGTTAACTGTTKATGTTCTCATCTCTTGCAAAGTCCTTGTATCTTTGTATTAATTTTTGCTGCCAAGCCCATGTTTTTGAMTTTGTTAATAAAACCTTTTTCCAACATTTTTYCCACCATCACTCAGTCCTGCATCCAAGGTTCTAACCACCCAAGCTCAAGTCATAACAGAAAGAAACACCTGGGAAAGTAACATGAGGAACAGGTGAGAGTAGGCGGGGCAGGAGCAAAGACAAGCAGGAGGAGGTAAACAGAAGGACAAGACAACCAGACTAGAACCAAAATAACACAAGAACCCAGAAAAAATCATAGCAATATTGCAGCACAGAAATGATTTATTTACAAAGTWTTGAAAAGATGTAAACAAGGGAAGAGTTGTCCATCCAGCCTTKCATGTTGGAGCCAGAGTCTAACCCAAAWCCAGAGGAGAATGAAGACTACAAAACATTAGTTGGTAAGTCCAGACCTTATTTAGAAGTCCCGTCACAAATACTGTGATGTAATAGTTCAACAAAACATCATTGAAATTAGAGAAAATTGAACATGTTGAAAAATATGACCCAAACAGAACATAGAGCTAGCTTTGCAGCATTGACATAGACTAGCAGCGCAGAAAAGTTGATTTTAGAGACTCCAAGTACACACAAAACATTTAAAATGAATTYAAATGAATTTTAGCTCAACATCTACAATATAGATTGAGTTATAACCAACAATTTTTTTTTGTTTGCTATGATTGCTAAACTTTGGCAGCCATCTTGAAATATAGTGATTCTAGTTGTAGATGTAGGACCAGTAATTACTTTCTAAAAGTTTCATTAAAATTTGTTCAGCGATTGATTGAGATCAGGGGTGGGCAATCCTGGTCCTCGAGGGTCGCTATCCAGCATATTTTACTTGTTTGTGTTCTTCTTCTTGTGGTGTTTAATGGCAGTTGGCAATAAACTGAAGGTGTGCATTACTGCCACCTACTGGTATGGAGTGTGGTTCAAGATGATTTCACAAATATTATTTATTTCTTTTTACATTTTCAAAGCTATCTATTCAAAGAAAATAAATAAATAAATAAATAAATAAATAAATAAATAAATAAATCTATGAAACTCAAATTCTGTAAAACAATTTCATGTTTTTCAAAAATCATATTAATTGTTTCTCTGCTCCAACACACCTGATTTGAATTAGTGGATGATTAACAGGCATCTGCAGAACCTGAGAAGGGAGTGAATCAGGTGTGTTGGAGCAGGGAAACAAGTAAAACATGCAGGATAGCGGTCCTCGAGGACCAGGATTGCCCACCCCTGCAGGAAATGTTTCGGCTAACAACACAGACATACGAACACAGTCTCAGGCAAAAAAACATTATCATCCATCGCTTCCACTTTTCTTTCAGTCACTATCGGAGTATAGTTTTGTTTTTCACATTTAAAGTTAAATAAAGTTGCTCTGGCTGGATGGAGATGGAGCAGAGTTTCGCTCCACGATTTTATGTGTGAACGAACGCTTTCAGTGACATCATTTCCTCTTCAATCAGTTTAACAAGCTAAAGAGCCTCACTTTGTTTTAGCCGGGCAATAGAGACAACAAGGCAGCAAAACAAAAGCAATTCTTTTGCTCCAGTGGTCAATGGCAAATAGATGATTCCTCCAGGTAGTTTTTTTCTTTTCCTTTATTCTTCTTCTTCAGCTGAGCCGCATTGATTTGGCAGCTATACGCGTGGATGTCACACATGCACCGAACAATGCTCAACGACTTCGCCATCCCATTCCCATTTAAATTGCCTCTGCGTTTTCTTTCTGACACCTGTTTAAATCAATGCCTTCCTCTGCAGGTCATGGGCTGAATGTACTAAGGCGCACACCGGCCGCCTCTCAAATCCACTAAAATCAACACAATAATTGAAATATTTTCAAGCTGATTACACCGAAGCCCGGGGCTTGGCTGGTTGCTAAGAGTACGCTCCCTAGTTGCTAGGGGGAGTAAATCATCTTGCATTATTTGATTTTTGTTACTGATATGAAACTGCTAGTCCCTCGATTAAATGTCTCACAGTCAAACACCTTGGGGATGGACGGGAGAGGGGAAAAAATAAAATAGCCACTGCAAACCTGTAAAATAGCGTCTCTGCCTCTCGGTTCCACGGGGCTTTAACACAAATCTATCTGCTTGTTTATATTTGTTCCTGCCCCAAAAATAAACGAGGCTCCGTTTTTTTTTRTCGCTGTCATTGAAGAAAAACAGAGAAGACAGCAGAATATCAAGAAACCCCACATCACACGCAGGCTTGGCGAGATCATGACRAATCTTTCTGTCTGTTTCATTGGAACTGTTTGCATATAAGAATACGAAGTCTCCGCAGCAATTTCTGCGCAATTTGTGAGCTAACGGCCTGAGAAGTGAACTGTCAGCGGAGACGCAAGAATAAATCAAGGTGGACTGCGTTGTTTCCTAAAGTGTCACAGAT